TCCTTGGTCCTTCTCCTCAAGCACGCTACATCTTGTCATAGGGAAAACAATGTATCAGAAAATCATTTTAATTGTGCCCCCACCCTCTAGCTTCTGGACAGCTTGCAGAAAGCAATGGGCAAAGGTTAAATTAATAATAATAATAATAATAATAATGCCTTTCATCTAAACAAAGTGCATAGTTAAACTATGGAACTCCCTCGTACAAGAGGCAGTGATGGCCACCAACGGCTTTAAAGGAGGATTAGACAAAACCATGGAAGATAAAGCTATCAGCGGCTACTAGTGACTACTGTGTTGTATCTCCACTGTTAGGGGCAGTATACCTCTGAAGACCAGCTGCTGGGAATCACAGTTGGGGAGAATTCCATTTCTGGACTTCCCAGAGGCATTTGTGAGAACAGGATACTGGAGTAGATTGTCTTGGCTTTTCTTATGTTACAGCATGATATCAAGGTGGGGTGCAATCACATAAATAGAAATTTAAAATACAACTTCCCAGAGATAAGCTGCATTTGGCTCCTCCATTGCCCAAACAAACATAACCTGCCATACAATATCCAGAAAAAAGTTCTTTTTTAGAGGCTGACCCTTAAGAGCTTAGTTCTTATGCTAACTCTAGCAGCTGCAGCTGTTGAAAAACCAGCTCCTGCTTTCCCCTAGCTTAGCCCTTCCAAACTGGACACACTGGGGAGCATCCAGGGACATGTACATGCATTTTGAAAGCCAACGTTTAATGAAGAAGCTTGCAGCACCTAGCTGAAAATGCTAACTTTTGTGCCACAGAAATCAAAAAGAGTTGAGCCAAGAAATCTTCCAACTGACACAATGTCCTTTCCTATGCAGGGGAAAGTTCAAACAGGACAAAAAAGCAAAAGCAAAAAGATATACAGGAAGGGAAAGGTTGTGGCAACACAGCGCTGGCTTATTTTGCAGGGTGGATGTGGTTTTGCTGAAGCCCTGCATTGGTATGGTGCCCAATTCTCTCACAAAATGAGCTAATCTTTGAGTCCATTATCCAAACCAGTGGCAGCTGGAGCGCCCCATCTATTATTACTTCTGTAAACTTCTCCAAATCCATATAATCTGGAGGGTGTCCCAAGTTTTCCCTGAGTGACTAGCTGCTCCAAACGCTTAAGAACATGTGGCATTCCATTTGGTAAATCAACCCAGTAGCTAAGGAAGGAGAATAGGTAAAATATTGGATCTTTGCTGCTCCTCTCAACAATATAGTGTGCTTGAGTGTGTGTTAAAGCTCACAATGAAGTGGGGAGAGAAATCAGAGAATCCAACCACACCTCAGCTACAGGGTTCAAAGAAGATCAAGAGGTTAGCACCTAACCTCATTTTGAAGCAAGAGTGTTAATTAATTTACATTGTGTAATGTAATGTAAATGTAATGCTACATTTTGAAGCAAGGGTGCTAATTAATTTAAAGCACAGGTAAATCTGGGAATCTAAGGTATCACCTGCTCTCGCTTTTTTTTTTTTGCAATTTCTATGCTCTGCTTCTCCAGCAATGCTACCCAAAGGGGTCTATATGCAATAATCACAAGGGCCCTAATCCATGTGCCTTGGGATTCTGTAATAAGCCAAGACTTTTCAGCAGTGGCAACCTCACTGAGGATCCTCCTGCTGAAGAACGTGCATTAGACCAGCCCCATTTGATATTTTTGAAGTTGGTTAAGACCTCTCCCATCCTGTAGGAACTTTAAGCTCGGCTGTTAATTCTGTGATAAGGTTTTAACTGAGTTTCATGAGGCTCTATTGACCATTTAAAACTGTTCTTCTATTTTAATTGTATTTGGTTTGCAAATCACCCTGAATCTTAAAAATGAATAACTATGTTGACACCAAGGGTGGATTATGAAGGAGGGGGAAATGCAACACAGGGGAAAAAAATATGGCTCTCCCCATCCCACCATCTGGCTGGCACATGTCTTTGGAAATATTGTGAACCTTTCACATAAAAGGGTTTACCAAATATACATATGAACCATTTACAAACATAGTATTTGTTTAAACTCAGTTTCAGTAACTCAACTAAGTTTTCTGTGAATCTAAAGCAAGGTAAGGTCTCCAGCATGCTAAGGTGTTGGCAGTCTGACCAGAACATAAGCTAGGAAGGATGAAGCAGGGTGACCAAGCTAAGGATGCAGCACTATTCAACCTGGCAGAGAATAACAGTGGGGTGAGAGATGCACTGCATGTAGGTCCCAGCCACTGAGAAAGAGATGCGGAAAGGAAGTGGGAGTGAAAGGAGGAGGTGCAGCAAAGAGACTGCAGATGAATGGAATCCAGCGCAAGAGAAGGAGAAAAGAGAGTGAGCGTGGCAGGGCTAGAAAGGAGGGCAGGCAAGGAGAAGGAATGTGTGAGTGAGTGTGAAATTGAGAATGAACAAGCATAGAACCAGGTACTGAACCAGAAGAAACAAGGGAAAGAGATGAAAGATACTGACTGCATTAGGAGTAAGGGAAAGCAGCATCACCTCTGGTGAATTAAGAGGGGAGAGAATACAGATGTGTAATAGGGGATGACAAACATTAACAAGAATGGAGGAAGCAAAGCAGAGAAGAAAGTTGTAAAGTCAGGGGCAGCAGACCACAGTGGTGGCAGGAGTATAAATAAGCAAACATCAGTGTGTGCCTGGTGATGAGAAAAGCCCTAAGCTTGAAACAGGGAGGTGCTCTCCAGAGGACAGTCACAATAGGCAGTGTGGCCCATATTTAAGACTGTTTATGTGGTTTTGCTACTGATAACGGCCAATGCTTGATAACAGTGCTGGGCATTTAATAAGGATAAGTGATTAGCAAGAAGCCCATTGTGCCAATAGTTCTGCCAGTTCCACTTTCCACTAGGGCAGGACAGAAAAAGCAAAGAGGATTCCAGCTTCTTTGGACACAACACAGAATGAAAGACCCTGCCCAAGTCCCCAGTGAAGAGCAAAGAGTAAAGGGATGTCTCTTGCAAACAGCACTCTGGGATAGGGTAGGCACTGATTTAAGAATCTCTTTCCATCTCTCCAAATGACAGCATCTTGCCGAAGAGCCTCTCAGAACCCAGAGCCAGTGGGAGTCATCAGTGGGTTCCTCCAGACATTCCTTTTTATTGTTCATTCATGATTATCTGTGCTCATGATTATACCAGGACAGTCACACGTGATCCCGCTTTTAATACTACTTATGCCCACAAATGTTTGGGGGCAATCATACTGCTTTATTTCCAATCAGTGCATATCCTGCAATGTCCTGCTGAAATCCAGTAACTTTTCATACCAGAAATGTTCTGTTGTATTTTTGTCATGCTTTTAATGTCCTATAGCCCCTCCAGGCAGAAATAATGTGGTAGCATTGAGGAAGCATCACAAAACAAACTAAAGCAGAACAAATCCACCATCAGTAATGCAACTATTATTGTGTCAAAACATGTTGCAGGATGCACCTGAAATAAAAAAAGCCAGTCTTGGAGAGGATCAATCAATCTGAATTAAAATCACTACCTGGTGACAAAGACAGCAGCATCCACTGGAGGGGTGTCATCTCGTGCTCCCGGCACCTGATTATTTCCAAGGTATTTTGCGCCACCAAATTCTTCATTTTGCCAATGGCAAAAACTCTCCAGGGACCTCTCCCCATGATGCCCAATGGACAGCTTGGCCTTCAGGAAACAAAGAGGAATTGAAGAGACACAAAGCAGGGAGGGGATCAACCCAGGTGGCAAATCTGCAAGCAATGAGTAGGCCATCAGTAGAACATGAACCAAGAATCTTTCATGACAAACTAATATGGACAAAATATGGACAACTAATATGGACCGGAGGAATAACTCTACCAGGGCTAGCTTTCACAGAGGCGGCTGCCTAGACTAGAGGTCCACTTTGCATTGGAAAGAAATCCTGCTGCAATAGCAGAGGGGGTGCATTTTCACTTTGCACTAGTACAGGGAGCAATGGGATGAAGATTGCCAAGCAGTATTTTAGCAGCCCAACCAATAAAGTCATGTTCTATCTAGTAACCAGCACTGGGATCTGTAAAATCATTTCTGGGGAAACTTCACCCATAATCATTAGATTCTCTACAGTTCTGCCCATACTCTACCAGGGTCTACCCTAGTTTTGGTCCCTGGTTTCCAGATTCTGCCATGGTTGTGCCTATGCCCTGGCAGCACCTGAGCCCTGGCAGATTTCTCTACAATCTCTCCCTACTCGTCTAGATTTCTTCAGGCTCTGCTCTAACCCTGCTCTGCCTAAGAGAATATATACATATAATCAAAAAGCAGTCAATCTTAAGGATGATAGGAAGGCAAATCTAGCAATGGGCTTGGGGCAGAAATTAACTGCAGCCCACCAGTGGATCCAGGTCAATTTCAGGTAAACTGCCACTTCCTCACTTCAGTGAAAAAACCCTCACCAAAGATGGCTACAGCACATGGGTTGTGGAACTCTGCGATCTGTCCACTGCTGTTTTATTTAACCCATCTATCATTTAATGGTTATCAAAGTCACAATTTCAAACAGTTGTTTTGAGCAAAATAGCAGGTTGTCACCAACTTACAGGACGGCTTTGAAGAAGGACAAGCTTAGTCACTCGAATATTGACTTTAACTCCAAGGCTCTGGTGTTGAAACATGTTGTACACCTGAACAAAGGCAGTAACAGACAACAAGCTCAGAATATCATTCCATCATGGAAAGAAGTTAACTAAGACAAAAATGTTTCCCTGCGATTTGTTCAGCAAATAATCTAATGACCATGACCTAACATACTAAACTACTTGCCACAAGTACAAAGAATTTAATTTTATTAACAGTACTTAAATAACTTGCATACTATTTTTCAAGCAAATAGCTTCATGCACATATCTCAGTAGTTTTTACAACGGCCTTACAGAAACACAGGAAGCTGCCTTATAGCAGGTCGGACCATTGATCCACCTAGCTCTGTACTGTCCACACTGCTGACAGTAGCACTCTAGGATTTCATGCAGCCCTCTAGCCCTACCTGGAGATGACGGGGATTGAACCTGGGACCTTATGCATGGAAAGCGGATGCTGTACTGCTGAGCTATGGGCCTTCCCCAACCTAACTTCTGCCTGACAAGAATCAATCTGCTTACTTTACTTCACCTCTCTTTCTCCTTGTCTCTAAAATAAAATGAAAATGGCAGCTGTAGCCCTGGGGCAATGCACTTTTGGGAGACTGTAACCCAGGTTTGGCTCACAACTCACTAATAACTGGCAACTAATTCAAAGATCTAAGAAACCAGACTACGGACGCTGTTTAAGATTTTTAACGAAGGATTAAATAATAAATAAACAAACAGTGGGGGGTCCAGTCTTTTCGGCAACCATGCCACAAATAGGGATGGAATTCGGTAATATGGAGCCCTGAGCGAGGACAAAATTGGACTCCTCCTCCTCACAAAACATATTTTTATTTTATTTCGTTTTATTGTGGATCTTCTCAGTAGGTACCCATATAAATATGTGGTGGCAATGGTTATTTTGCACCCCTGTACTGCGCAGGGGAACCACCCACCCCACCCTAAATCCATCTCTGCCACAAATTAAGTCAAAGAGAAAGCATTACTTTGCTGTGAGGTGTAATAAAACTGCACCCACCCCAATAGCTTTGGTGGGGGAGTGCTTTTTGTCAGGCAGAAGTGTAGCACTGGAGCCTGAATTTGTTGCAGCCTCACAGGCCCACATCCTGTGTTCAGAGTTTCTACAAACTCCTCTGCCTGTGCAATCTGTGATACCTTTTTCAATAGAGTGTCCGCCCATGGTTTAAAATATTGTGCCTTTCCTTGTGAATCCAGAGCTAGGATTTGACTCCACATCTGCCAGCCCCGACATAGTAAACCAAACCAGCTTTCTTATGTACACAAATGCTAAGCACATGTTCCTTAAATTTGACTCATCTGATAACTTGCCTATCCACAGGCAGTTCTTCTTAAGAAGAACAATATTTTTTAACAAGCTCTCCAAGGGCTAAAAAGAAAATTAATATATGGGTTTAAAACCAAACAAAACACGAGGCATTGAAAAGGCAGCTGAAGGAAAAAAAGATAGATGGTTCTGAGGGAAATGGATGGTTGGGCACTATAATCAAAGGGAACACTGAGGTCAAAATATAATTTTAGAGTCATTGAGATAAGTTGAAAGACTGTGGTTTATGCAGGTCAAAAATACTGAGAACAGTGCCGTCAGAAAGCAAAACGAAATAATGGTGCATTTTGGACTTCAGGAAATAGAATGGAAAAGCAATTTCCTTGGGTTATTCATGTGCAATATAAGAGAATAGAAATATGAGTGAGTACAGAATGGCACAATCTTAAGTTAGGAAGCTCAAAAACACCGCAGGAAACTAGTTTATATGGTTATCTCCAGACTGTACATTCCAGCTAGACAGTTCATCTCTTTTACAGATACGTAATTAAGCCCAGAACTGTATTTCCCATTCCTTGATTGCACAGATACCTCATGTTAGAATATATCAGTCATTCAAAAATTGGAGGAACAAGAAATATTTGCATCTTCTGTACATTTCAAATTATGTTCTTCTCCACCAAGAAAGGGAGGCAAATTCAAAGCACAAATTTGTGTTGCATAAACCCTACAGTATGTGATGAGACGTCTGACTTTTCTGTAACTTGATTGCTTGCTATCAGGCAATGCCGACACTCGCAGTGCAATCTAGAAAGGGATGCCTGGTGGATCTAGAAGACTTCAGTAAGCATAGATGCCTAGCAGTTCGTTTTGTGCTGCAAAGTACACTTTTGAACCACTGTAAGGATATTAGAACAGCCCCTGAGAATACAGAAGATGGACTGTCTCTGAGCTACCTAATAGCTGAAGGTATTCCTTTAACAGGTATTGATGCCTACAAGATGCTTGAAGAAATAAGCACTTACTGCTTCTGACAGGCAGTGGTGGTTGGCAATTTCCTGCCTCATGAGCCGGGAGAGTTCCAGCTGCTTGGCTGCACTCCCTTGCCTTAGAGGTCGTCACTGGGCTTGGTGCCTGGCGACACCAGGAAAGACTAATGATAAGGGCAGGAAATGATGCCTGAATACATAGGGCACCATGTGGACATAATGATATTTCTGTTCCTTAAGTTGAAGACTGGTATGATGTTGGGTCCAATGTAGCACTACGTTAAAGTCACATAGCAGTAGATGCCATGAATCCCTCGGTCCCATCAAGATCAGGCATGCCACGGCAGTCCCAAACAGAAGAGGAGGAGGATGGAGATAGAGCTGATGGATGAGAGGATAACAGACACCTGGAGATGAAGGATGGGAACCTGCCCCTTGTAACTCCAGGTGTCACAGATGGGGAAGCAGAGCTACTGGCTCTCCACACTGCCCCACTCCTGAGGTGTGCGGAGATTCATTAGGGAGCGGGGAGAAGCTGAACAAGAGGAGCTGGAGGCAGAGGGACAGGACCCAGCTTTGTCACCATGAACAAAGTGTCATTGTTGTAGGTGGGATCAGTTGCACCTGCCTAGGAGGAGTTCGCAGGTGCGCATGCAGCAGGCTCACCCTTTACAAGCTTGGAGGAAGAGACATGTCACTCATTGTGGATCACTCGTCTTCCTCATGTACCCTCACCACTCCTGGACCTGCGCTTCATACTGTGCCTGAACAAAGATCTGTTTCTTGCTCCGAAGTAAGTGCCACTGTTGTTGCATTCTGGGATGGGAGCCTGACAATATACTTGTTTTGCTGGCAGAAGGTTGTTGAGCAACCAAGAGGAAAACCCTGCTCTTCCCAAAATAGTGACAAATAATGCTAGCTTTGTGAGCCTGCAACTCAACTAGTAATTAGTATATCCAACTATATCAAATTTTGGTCATCTTCAGATGTACCTAATGGAAGAACAGATCTACAATTTAAGAGTGACTTTCCAAGACCTTTGTGGTAAGAGGATGCCCAGATATTGAAATCTATGGAACAGTGATGTTAAAAATAATCTGCTGTTTGGTTAACCTAAATAATTACTTTTCAAATATATACTTTCTTCTTGGTTTTGAAATGAACTTGCCTCTATTTCAAGAAAGACCACAGGCTGACTTAAGAAATTGTAAATGTATATTCTTAGTGTGGCTGCAGCTGTTGCTAAACCATGTGATTAATTTAAGAGCCTCCTGAAGCTGCAAGCAGTAACATGAAATTAGTGATCCCTTGAACATTATTAAAAAGGAAAGTTTATATGTTAGATTTTTTGAATAAAGTTGGGCTTCCCTTTGAAGTTTCCTTTTGGATTTTAAATCACCCTGTTAAGCCTGGTCTTTCCACTTGCAGATGCATCTTAGAAGCAGAGTTGTATGCGGAAATAATTGTTCTTTTCTTCAAAATACACTAATCTCTATTTTGGGAGTAATGCTTTTATTCCTTGAGGCACCATTTGGTGTTCTCATGTGAGAGGAAGCTTGATGTGAGAGGAAGAAGGATTTTTAACATCACATTATCCATCCCCTTTTCCTGGATGGCTGAAACAATATGATGTGGGTAATAACTATTATTTTAATGTATCCTGCATCCTCAATGTATATGATGTGTTACAAAGACCAAAAAGCCTCGAGACACTGGGAGCAGAACAGAGAGAAGAAATGCAATGATGCATCTGCAGCAACACAACCAGACACCTTCATCTGCCCCAGCTGCAAAAAAACATGTCTCTCCCGTCTCAGCTACCGCAGCAAGCCTTCCAACAGTTTGACTTCACCCCTAAAGGTGCACTCCTCCATTGTCTCCTGAGATAGACAGATGCCAACCAGCCTTCAAATGCAGGGCCGTCTTTACCTGGGGGTGCAAGGGGTGCTGGGCACCCGGGCGCTGAATTCTGGGGGGCACCAAATGTATACCTAACTGTATACCGGTCCCTCTCTATCGGCAGCAGTGAAAAGCAATGGAGCAAAAGTCCCTGCCCACCTCCTCCGTCACTCTGTTACTCCGTAGCATCAAATATTCCCGAAGAGTCAGGAAACAAAAGCAGTTTTTTCCATTGCGTTGTTGTTATAGGTGAGCGATTTCCTCTCCCAAAAAAGCTCAATAAAAGTTAATTTGGTGATAGCTAAACTAAATTTGGGGGCGCTAGGCGGATCTTTGTACCCTGGCGGTGCATATGCTAAAGACGGCCCTGTTCAAATGCCTCAAGCCAGCCTTCTCCAACCTGGTGCCTTCCACGGTTTGGGATTACAAATCCAATCAACCCCAGGCAACGTAGTCAATGCTGAGGGTTGGTAGTGGTAATATACCCAAATATCTGGACTATAGCAAAAAGCCGAACAAAACACTTCCTGCACACAGACAACTAGCAAATCAGGGAGACAGCTGTTAGAACTTGCTCTCTACAGCAAGGAATTTTCAGAGTTATGAGATTCTCCACCTGTGGTCCCAGGTGGAATGTACTACATAATTCTGCCAGACCATATGCCTTTGAACTCTTAGTTCTTTCACAGAAAGCACTCATCACCACCAAAACCTGACCCTCAGGTCTAGACCAAGCACCTAGAGTTCTCCATAATGGTTTCCCTGGGACATTTAATTTTTTTAAACAATATATTCATAAGTCAATGTTGTCTTAAGGCACAGTTCAAAGCTTTTAAAAGACATTTAAAGCAGAGATTTGGCTTTAGGAGCCCATCATCCGATCTGTGTCTTTTGAAATAATTTTTATTTTTGTTTTCTTTTGAGTTGCATCTATTTCCACCCCTAAATTCATATCCTCATTCAGCAGCTGCAAAAATAAAACCATATTTTGTAATGCTGGCTTTCCTTCCCAACAAACAGATATTAAATTGCTTTAAGCAGATCCTAGCTTTTTCATACATATAAAAAAACTATAAATATAATGTGTGTGCTAATATGCCATTTTAAGTCTTACTTTGTGGTTTGACTGTAAATGTAATGCCTTACAGCAAGGAGCCAAATTAATAAATCCCCCCCCCTCCCCGACAGCAATGCTCTATTTGCTTAAATCCTGGCATACATGCCAAAATTAACATTCTGGTTTCTTTTAGAAGCAGCTGTTCGTCCTGCCATGTTGGAGTAGAAACTAAACTCTGCA